ACCATCAGTTTACCGATGAAGATCTGATTCACACCGCTACAGAAATTGAACAGATCGAAGACGAATTTGTTGTGCCACCCCTAACTGGGGAGGAACAATTGAACATTTTACATAGTGCTTTAAGAATTGTTGATGAAAGGATTGATGATGGTGGAGAAACAATAAAATCATTATGCAAGCTACAGTCCTGTATTCGTGAGGAAGTTCGAAAAGAAAAAGCTGGTAAGCAAGTTCAAAATAAATTGGAGCAATACTTCAAAACTTGAATTTTTTTTTTTTTTTTAACTAAAATAACTTACATGGGAGGACGGATTCTTTGAGAAATTTTGTCATAAAATCGTGCTCTACATTCAACACTCTCTAAGTGCAGCCCCTCTAAGTTCTAATGAAATGCACTTAAAAAGAGTTATCTGTAAAAATAAAATAAAATTACATTAGCGAATCTTCTGTAATATGAAAAAGCCATAATCAGAACTGTATACGTTGTTCTCTTTTTTGTACGTACGTACATACATACATCGTAATCGCTTGAGTCTATCACATTAAAATTCGTGATTTTAATTAGCCAACGATCATGTGATCAGATCTGACAAATCAGGAACTTATGTATCTGGCCTATTGGATATCAGAAATGGCAGGTTATCGGGTATGAATTAGGGAGCAGGCCCGGTGGATCAATTTTTAACCGATTATGGCAGGATATTGGTTTTGACAGGATCGGTTTGGGGAGGGCCGACAGTATAAGGAACAATTCATTTCTTATCAAGAGTTTTATCTTTTTTTGTAATTATTTTGCTAGTATCTCTTTTTCTATAAATTGGATAACCAAATTTGTTTACTAATGTTTTATTAGCATATTTTTTAAGATAATGTTTTTCATATTTATTATCTTCATTATCTATACAAGAAGATTTTTTTGCTAAAGTTTCTTTTTTATATAGTCTATGTACCATATTTTTAATTATAGTTTCATATAACAAAGGTTGTTTATCTTTGTCAGGAATTTCAGTATACACCAATTTATCAAAATCTTCAAGTGTTGTTGGCTTATCTTTAGGTGCTAATATCATTAAAATATGTGTATGTAGTAAACCTCTTTTTTGAAAATTCAATTACATATACATGAGTTATTACTTTTCTAAATATTCCTTTTACAAAAAATTTATATGTAATGCTTGTAATTTTAATTTAAATACTCTTGCAACTAACTCAGGTCTATCAGAAAAAGTTTGTTTTGTATCATTACTTCTTATTAATAATTCATTTTGAATTTCAGACTATGTTAGATTGCAAGTTACAGGTATAAATAAATCAGGTTTACTATATTCTTTAACAATTGCTATAGAATCTTAATATAATTGTTGAATATATCTGGCAGAGCCAGTAAAACTTAAAGATAATATAATTTTTGTTTCAAGTTTTCTATTAGTATCATCTTCATTGACAATATCTTGTAAACCTGAATAAATTTTAGATTTAAATAATTTTTGATTTTGTCACTATTTTAAATTATTTGATTCCTATTTAGTATATTGATCTATTAAATATTGTTAGAATAATTTACTAGCAAGATATAAAGTACTTCTTTCTTTATTAGTATCTCTAAACTATATTCTATAAGCAGCAAATTCTCTAATTGTAACTTATTTTGGTTTTTTCTTTTTTTTGAAGTTTGAGTTTGTGATAATTCTAAGTCATCATCATTATTATTATTATCATTATCTGATTCAGACTTATCTTCATTATCACTTTAACTTCAATTTCTTCAGTTGTTTTGCCTTTTCTTTTTGGGTTTATTTTTTTTTTTTTGCTTTTTTCTTTTTCTTTTTCTTTTTTTTTTTTCTTTTCTTTTTAATTTTATTTTTTTCTTCTATTTCTTTAGCTTTTCTTTTATCTGGTCTATTTGCTATGCTAATTATACTTATATCTGAATTTGATCTTAAAAGTAAGTTTTCAATTTCTATAGCTATTTCTTCAGTACTTGAAGCAAAGCTTTCATTTTTTTCAAGTTTTTTAAATAATGATTCAAACATTATATTATTATTATCATCATTATTATCAGAATTATCAGAATTAGTATCAGGTAATAGTTCTTTATTTTTTATTACAATTTTATTATTTCAACTATGTTTATTATAAGGAAATAATAAAGAATATTGTAATAGATGATGTGTACCATATATTTCAGAGATATTTCATATTCCACCTTTTTTAGATTTAAGAAGAATTTCTCTTTTTTTTTGTATATAATTATTATTTAAAATTACTGCAGCAACTTCTTCTACTATAGGTACATTGTATTGTCTTACTGTATATTCTTTTTATGTATATTATAAAATACTATTGATAAATCTTGTAAATTTTTATCAAATTCATCTTTGGCTTGTTTTAATATTTGTATAAATGGATTAATTCTATAAAGTTTATTTTGAATAGAATTAAGCATTGTGGTATTTAATTTATATTTTTTAAAGTTTTTTAATCTAAGTTCAGATTGTTTTTTCAAACTTGAATCATGAAAATATACTTGAGCAAAGCCAAGTTTCTTAGTTGTAGCTAAAAATAAATTTCTAATTAAATAGTAAAAAGCTTTATGAATTCTATAGGTATAAACTTCTTCAGTTGTATCTGCTAAGCTTTTATTATAATCTGTTCTTACTAATATAAAAGCAAATACAAAATTATATATTCTACTTTTTTTAACAAATGGTTGATTTGTTAATAGTTCATTTGTTGTAAATAGTTTATAGATTGTATCTGGAGTTGGTTTAAGTTGTGTCAATACAACTTGACCATTAACACAGCAAAATTCTTTTGGTTTATCTTCCTATATCAAAGCAAAGCAATATTTACAAATTTTACACATTGTTCCAAATCTATGTCTATTTTTTTCAATGTCCTCTTTTCCTTCTATCCCTACTCTATTTTTCTCATAAATTCTATATTACATTGTTCTAATCTATAAAATTGTTCAATATTCTTTTCTTTCTTCTTCTAGTAACTTCTCTTTGCTCTTTCTCTATCTTGCTTCTTTTGTTTTTCTATTTGTTCTTGAGATCTATTAGCTTTATATTTTTTTTGTTTTTCTTTAGTATTTTTTTTTTTTAATAGCTGCTTTTGTTCTTGCAGCAGGCTCTTCTTCTTCTTTTTTTTCTTCTTCTTTTATTATTTCTTCTTCTTCTATTATTTTTTTTTTCTTTTATTATTTCTTTTTTTTCTATTATTTCTTTTCCTTCTATTACTTCTTTTTCTTCTATTATTTTTTGTATTTTAGATCTTGTTCTAGAAGATATAGAAGATTTTCTAATTTTTTTTTTAATAATTTCAATAGATTCTGTAACAGATTTTGTAACAGATTCTATTTCAAATTGTTTTTTTTTCATATTTATCAAAAAGCTTTTTTTGATGTTTTTTTTTATTTTATAGTCTCTTTCTTTTATATTTTTCACTTTCTTTATTAGAAGAAGCAGGATATAATCTGTTAAGTTTATTTTCTATTTTCTTAGATACTATTTTTTTTGATGGCATATTTGCTTTCTTTTAAAAAAAAAAATAAAATAAAATATTTAGTTTTTGCTTAAATAAACTTAAAATAATTTTTTTAAATAAAATTTTAATAAGATATTAATAAAATTTTTATTTAATTTAATTTTACTTGGTAAACTTTTAAATAATAGATTATTAATTTGTAAAAATAAGATTTATTAGTATATTTGTATATAAAATATATAAAAAATTTGATAAAATTAATTAAAATTTGGCAAAAATCAATTAAAATTATATAAAATTTGTTTAAAAATTTATAAAAATTTGTAAAAATTGCAAAAAATTTGTAAAAAGTTTAAAAGGGTTAAAAAAAATTCAGTACAATCGGCAAAAACGTAAATACAAAATGGTGAAGTCATATGACTTTATCATTTAATCAGAGTTTTAAAACTTCAATTAGGCCCCAAAAATTTGCACTAATACAAATTTTGAAGTCACATAATTGTGATACTTAGTCAGAGTTTTAAATCTCTGATTGGGTCCTGTGGCATGGGCACAGAAAGGTTAGAGTAAGTAAAAATCTTTACTCAAGATTGTGCATGTGCTATGTACCTCTATAGAATGTAACCCATGAAAATTGTGCATATGCTATATATACTCTATAGGATGTAATCTATGAAAATCACACAGTGCACATGTGTGACTGAGGTTAGCACTTTATATGTTTAGACTAGTCTCTAATCCAATGCCTTGCACTAGGCTTTAATATTATTAAACCAATTCTGGTTTAAAAAAATCTGATCCAAATTCTTTGAACCAATCCTGGTTCAAAAGAACCCGATTTGGGTCTCTTTGAACCAAGCCTGGTTCAAAAAAATCTGATTTGGTTTCTTTGAACTAATCCTAGTTCAAAAGAACCTGATTCAGGTCTCTTTGAACCAATTATGGTTTAAAAGAACCTGATTTAGGTCTCTTTAAACCAATCCTGGTTCATAAGAACCCAATTTGGATCTCTTTGAACCAATACTGGCTCAAAAGAACCTGATTCAGGTCTCTTTGAACCAATCTGGCTTAAAAGAACCCAATTCTGGTCTCTTTGAACTAATCCCGGTTAAAAAGAATTTGATTTAGGTCTCTTTGAACCAATCCTGGTTTAAAAAAACCTGATTTGGGTCTCTTTGAACCAATTCTGGTTCAAAAGAACCCAATTCAGGTCTCGTTGAACCAATTTTGGTTCAAAAAAACCTGATTTGGGTCTCTTTAAACTAATTCTGGTTCAAAAAAACCCAATTTGGGTCTCTTTGAACCAATTGTAGTTTAAAAGAACCTGATTCAGTCTCTTTAAACCAATCCTGGTTCAAAAGAACCCGATTTGGGTCACTTAGTTAGAATTTTAAAACTCCGATCAGGCCCTAAAAATTTGAGGGAACCCAAATTCCAGGGTCAGATTTTCATGACACTTAGGGTGCTCTCAAGCAGCTCTCTCAATGTGATCTGATAGTGATTGAGATGATGCTCAATTATTACAATTGATCGTAATAATGATTTCAATCATTGTTT